CCCTAGACAAAAAGTGTCAAAAACCACTAGGACAGAAATTCCGGCCCCTAAAGAAAAGAAAGGGAAGACTGAAAAACCGATGGACTATATGTCCACTGATTTTTTATTTTAATGCATAAACCAGTTTCATTAAAAAGGCTGTATATAAGAATTGGGAGTTACTATTACAGGACCCAACACTAGCATCAATATTACCCCCAAAACCAAGATTTTCAGGGGAGCTCCCACCTTAAAAAAAAGAAACTAGTCCATAGCTATATAAAAACCATCACTGGAAAGGCATTTTTTAAATACCCATACAGGTTTTTTTTTTGTTTTGTTTTTTTTTTTAAATGTGGGACGTGCAATATATGCAAAACAGTGGGTCAACCATTTGGAAAAACCACTGAATTATATTCCACCACAACAAAAAAGAAGTATAAGAAAAGAATGCATCACGTGCAACTCAAAACAAGTTATTTATTAAGTTGCACTTGTGGTTTGAAATATGTGCAACAGACAAGAATGCTGAAAACCAGGCTGGGAGGGAGAATACACAGTTTGAGAAACACACTTTATCCTATCATTTTAAAACCCACCATGAAAAATAACCCCTCCTCTCTAATTAGTTGTATTCCACAAAAATTTAACATCCCATGGGGGGTGGGGGGGGTAATCTTATTAAAAATCTTTTGTACAGAGAGACATGTTGGATATATAGCTTAAAAACGTTTAGCCCCATTAGGATTGAATGCGGAGTATGACATCTCCAGTATTTTATGGATGGTATTTACTTGACGGGACATTGGTATTACCTTCTTTTAGAATGAAGTTTCATTTTTTAACTTGGTAGATAGTAATGCTGTTTAATATTTTAACTAGCTGAGTAAAATATATATTCTTCGTTGATTGGGATACACCCTACAAAATGTGAATATAGTTCAGGTTACTATTTTGGACTTTCTCTAACACACACTATACATATACATATACATATACATATACATATACATATATATTGTATTGTTAAGATTTCTTGACGTCATTATTCTTCAGTCATTACATCTAAGGGAGAATTAACAGCCCTCCGATCTTTAATTTGGAGATTTACTATGCCCTCTTCCTTTAACCCCTTAAGGACCACATTTCTGAAATAAATGGGAATCATGACATGTCACACGTCATGTGTCCTTAAGGGGTTAAACTGTTTAATTAGGAAAGTTAGGTTTCTTTCTTATCCTGTATAGTTATAACTAGATGAAACTGCTTAGAGACCCTCTAACATTACGATCTTTTAAGTCCACTAGCCAAATAGATTGTAAAAACAATCTAACAACGGAAGGGTTAGTTACACCTTATCGGAGCATGGTCAGTATTTAAGACTCACGGACGAAAATCATAAGAACCCTTTCAGATAAACACCGTACATATTCTTTATCCATACTATCAGAATTAGGAAAGTATAATGGATCCAAGATATCCAGTAACCGTAAGAAAACATTTAAGCCCGTAATCAGCATCACCATTATAGAGACTATCATTTAGCTTTGAAGTTAGAACTAGAATCTATTAGGCTAGAAACTGAAGGGATAGATTTTCCTCCATTTACAATGCGGTTTTTATATTAATAAAGACGATTCCGTTACACACTAACAATGTCGGATGGACTAATGAGGGAATCAATGTGTATATGACAAACTACAATGATAAGTTTGTGATTTTAACCCCTTCCCACCGTATGACGGACAAGGTCCATCATGGCAGGGAGACCCTTAACGCCATGTGACGGACCTTTTCCATCACGCATTAATTTACCCCAGTTAGTGGCGATCGCGGGGTTAATGGTGCTCCTGTCTGCCTCTGTATTAGAGGCAGACCGGGAGCACCCGATCGAGCTGCCCCAGCAGCAGTGCTGCATGTACTCACCTTCCACCTCCCTGCACTTCCGGGTTCAGTGTGAAGTGCAGGGAGAGGGATCAGTGATGATCCTGTTTAAAAAAAAAAAAAAAAAATTTAAGTTATTTTAACCCCTTAAGGACACATGACACGTGTGACATGTCAAGATTCCCTTTTATTCCCTTTTAAAGTTAATTCAAAATCCCACCCCATTTACCCATTTTAATAAAAATTAACCCCTTCCCTGCCAATTGATCATTTACTACAGGTGATCAATTTGCAGGGTAAACATTTTACTAGGATCTGGATTTTATTTTTGTAACCCTCAGGGGTTAAATTTAAATATATTAAATATATTTAGCTAGCTGGGGTGGGTGGAAGTTAGTGGGGAATTGGGGGATTTGGTATTAGCCTAACTAGGGGTTAACGTTAAAGTTTTAAAATAAGCTTTAGAAAGTAAAAAAAAAAAAAAGAAAAAAAGAAAAGTTTAAAAAAAAGTTTTAACATTTAAGAAACAAAAACCCTTTACCCAGTCCAAATAAAAATTAACCCCTTTCAGTCGATCACTGCATTAATGTGATCTAATTTTTTTAACCCCTGAGGATTAACTTATTTTTAACCCTCAGGGGTTCAATGTAAATATTTTATAATTATATATTTTGCTAGCTGAAATTTACTGTTAGTGCTGCTTACTGCTAGTTAGGGGTTAACAGTAAAAAAAAAAAAAAGTTTTAAGAAAGTTTAGGAAAGTAAAAAAAATTAAGCAAAACAAGTTTAAAAACTAGTTTTAAAGTAAAAAAACAAAAGTTTTAAAAAAGTCATTACCACTACATCTGTAACAAAACTAGAGAATAAAAAAAAAAAAAATGATATCACGCTAAGGTTAAAAACACGCCTTTTGAATTGCCCCAGGATGTATTCTTTAATAAATAGTATGTTTGTGGGGAAGTTTCAATAACCAACCATCTAAACTACTCCAAAATGGAACATGGACACAGCGTAAAACTTCAAAGTAAAAAAAAATAAAAAAAATGACTCCTTCTCAAATGTACCCCTTCAACATCCACAAAGGACATACGGGGGTATTGCTGTACTCAGACAACATAGCTGAGCAACATATGAAGTATTACAGTCGTAGCACACTTTGCACGATTTGCAAAATACTGTGCAAACCCACTGTGTAAAGGCAGCAGAAAAACGCTTACCACCACACTTGGTACAAGCTAGCGGAAAGGTGATCTCATGCTAAGGTTCAAAATATGCCTTTTGAAATACTCTGGGATGTGTTCTTTAAGAAATGGTATTCCTTTATGGTGTAGTTGTAATATATAGCCTGCTCAAGTGCTCCAAAGTGGGACACAGACGCATCAAAACCCTCCATGAAAATTCACACTTAAAAACCTTAACTTGTCACGTCTTTTACAGCAGTGTAACTTCACAAAATAGTGTCTAGGTCATACATTGGGCATATTGTTTTACTCAGAAGACTTGGCTGAGCATAATTTGGGGGTTTGAACTCAGTGGCACATATGAAATACAAAATGCCGAGCAAAAATGTAATCCATATGTAAAAAATGCCCAAAATGATTTACCACATACTTTGGTATGTATTGGTTAAAAAAAAAAAAAAAAAGGGGGCATGTTAAGGCACAATGCTATACCCTGGAGTGTCTACTTGTACAAATGGTAGGCCCTTGTGGGTTTTTTTTTGAACAGTCAAACTACTGTAATAACCCAAATTGAAGCATAGACCAATTAAATCCATTTCAAAATTCTACTGTAAATACTGAAAAGGACAGGTCTCCTATATGGCACTGTAGCTTCACGAAATAGTTCCAAAGACATACAATGGGGGTATCGTACTCCAAAGATGTAGCCCTTTCCAGGAGTTTGAGGCATTTTTGTGCCCAAAAGTTCAGGTCCCCATTGACTTCAATAAGGTTCGGGGTCAAGTTTGAGCACGAACCCCGACTTTTTCCAAAGTTCGGCCAAACCCGAACATCCAGGTGTCCGCTCAACTCTACTTAAGAGACCTCACCATAGACATACCTTCAAAGCATAAATTTGAAATTATGCTAAAGAAGTTTAGGAAGAGAAATATGGGCAGGCTGAAAATACACTGCCTTTAGTTGTACTGAACCTGTAATAGTCTTACCACAGCAATGACTGAGGTTAAGATTCACATCCTAAGTCATCTACTGACCTCACACCATTCACCCGACCAAATTTTTTCTAGGGCAGGGGAGGGGATCCTTGCATTGGACTACATCTCCCTTGATGCTTTGCCAGCACCTGGAGGGCCGAAGGTTCCCCACCCACGGTCTAGGGGATCTCCAGTTTCCACATAGGCTTGATTTCCCTTTCCAAGGGTTCTTCAGAGTGTAGAATCCTTTAGCCATGAGTGATCTAGAAACATTTGATTCTCTCAAAATGTGAAGTTACAAGTGGTTTCATCATAGGGCCTTTCAAAAGTTTCCCCAATTGCAATTTGGATAACCAATAGTACAATAATAAAGATGATGACATGTCTGCCCAATTGTTCTTTAAACTCAAATCTGAATCTCTCTTCCCATCAAGAATTTTCCTTACACTATGCATCAGTTGACAATGCAATTCAGGCCATGCCATCAGCAGGCAGGGAGACCTGGTTAAGCAAGTCAGACCTCAATAGTAAGCTCCTCCCACTACATCATTGTGGCATCTACATTTTATTTAATTTTTTTTTTTTTTTATTACTGCTATATTAGGTTCAACTTCTGGGGTCAAAAATAGCCCTAAACAGTTTGATATATTTGCATAAACACATGTAGTTACACGATGGTGGTGCACTATCTGGATGATAGTCATCACAACAGTTTAAGCTTAAAGTCAATACATGTATCAGCACTATCCTAGGTGGTGCTGTTATCAAGGTTGCCCTCCACTACGTTCTACATTATGATACCGCACTCAAACTTTACGTAACATTTAGTTTTTTGCATCTAATTTTAACAGGTTATATGGAATTAACCCTTCCACTCAATATAAACACAAATATACAAGGCAAATTTGCATGTCGAAAGTTAGCCAAGTTACAACAATCTTGGTATCTAAACTTTTTAAACACACAAAACAGTGATTAGATA